GTGGCATTGTCAGGGATCAGACCTGCGATCTCCCAACAATAGAGCTAACTATTAAATTATTGAGTCACTGACATATTTTGAAGGTCATAATTTCTAAATTTTGTATGTAAATGTCAAAACTATAAAAAACCTATTCTATAATAATGCTCATTTCTGCTAGCACCTTTATGAGATTTTAGTAGTATGTAGGCACTAAGCTAATGGCAATTCACACTATTCTCAACATTATTGGTTATTCCAGATTAAATGCAGACATGTACGGCTCATTTGAAACTTGTGACAGACATATTAGCGGATACCTTGAATGTAGCAGTTTTACAGTGACTCCTTAAATAAAGAGCCCTGGCATAGAGCTACCAATGTTTTCCTTTTCTAACAACTGACTGAAACGCATTGGTTAGATTGGGTTACCACTCGTACTCCCAGTCAGTGACTTTTTTTCCCTCAACAAATTGTTCATTGTACATCAAAACGTGATTTGTTTATTATACTGTCACTTCCTAATTATGTTATGAGTGAGAGAGCTGACTACACTCTATCTCCCCAGATACCACAAAGAAAAATAAATCCTGTTTGGACAATTTTCAGTTGGGTGTTTCAGTATTTTACCTCTTTTGCTTCCAACCAACCTTTAACAATGAAATAAGAGTTTTGCTACGATACTTGCAGAGTTTAAAGACAATAAACACGATGATTTACTTCATTTTTAATGTAATATAAAATTACAGACATTTCCTTTTCATTTGTGGAGATCATTAGGCCTCCTCTGAAGGTCCCTGAGAGTTCCTCACTGCCTACTTCACACTAGGGTTATTATAGATTTACAATTTTCATTAGTTTTTCTTTTTATTTCATTTTTCATTTTTGTTTTTGATTCTAGTTTAGTTTGAAGATGTGTTAATAGTTTTCGTTTCGTTTTTATTTAGTTTCAGTTTTAGTTTTAGTTTTTAGTGTTGTGATAAAGAGTAGGTGTTGATAAGGGTAAAATAAAATTAACACAAAAGAACACTGAGCTCGATTTGGCTCCAGCTTTCTTTGAAGATGGCCAAACACAAAAGAGTTCCACTTCTAAGCTTTCATTAACGCTCTGAAACTATTTCTACAGTAATTCTGTTTAGTTTTAGTTAGTTTTGCAGTGGACAGTATAGTTTTGTTTTAGGGTGCGTTCAAACCTCCCTTGGTTGGTCTGGACTTTTCAGTTTGGTCCGAACTATAATAGCAGGTGTGAAAGGTTCGGGCCACGGTTCGGATAAAAGAACCAAAATTTTGACCGGCCAAAAGAGGTGGTCTTGGTTCGGATCCAACTGAACCATGGTTTGGTTTGTTTGCAGTGTGAAAACACTTTTTTTGGGGTGTTTTGGACTTTCAGACCAATTACAGGAAGCGGAGGCAGGCTGTTATCAGCCAATGAACAATAGAAGAAGAAAAAGAACCGGAAGAGAAGTAAAAGGAGCCGCAGTAGCGCATGAGGAGAGGAGGACAGGAAATATTTAATTGTAATTTGAACCAAAGAAAAAGTGAAAAGTCAACTTGAAGAAATACATAAAAATGCCAGAATTTAAATCTTTTTCACTGAGAGGATGAGAGAGAGAGACCACAAACGAATCAATATTAAGTATAGGGAGACGCAGCCCGCGTAGGTGATGACGACAGGACGTCGGTGTGTCGTGCAGAGTTCTTTATTGCACTCATTAAATTGCAGTGTGGAACCAAAACTAACCAAAATGTTTGCAATGTAACAAAAACATGAGCCTTAATTCGGACCTTGGCCTGGACTTTCAGGTGTGAAAACGCCACTAGTTTTTGTGTTTTTGAGAAGTTTCGAGCACAGTAAACTAACATGCTTTTTCACTGTTCACTAGTTTTTCTTTTAGTAATAGTTTAGTTAACTATATTAAACCTGCTACATAGTGGGCTATTAACATTATTATAAAGACCCCTTAAAACGTGGTCTGGGTTTGAGATGATTAAACGCAAATGTTGCCTATGCAGAGGCTTGGCCTTGTCTCATGTAAATAGGCTGATAAAGGCTTTTGTAGTTTCAGAAACTAGCCATTGTTGTTAACAGTTAGTCCAGCCTCAGAAGAATTAAGTTACTCCACATTTAGGCTGCAAAGTTTAATTTATTGAAAACTCTTTAGAGAAAAGGGGAGTAGAGAGAGTGGGGTTGACATGTTTGAACTGCTTTACTGTGCTTTACGTAAGGCGCGAACAATAAAGTCATTCATATGATCTGTTCTGGGGAGCAGAAAAAGGAAAAAGAAAATAATTTAAGGAGACACAAAGGAGAGGGCAGGAGGATGAGTTTGGAGCACATTGGTTAAAAGTGGAAAAAGACACGAGAGTGAAAGAGAAAGATTTAGATGCTTTTTTTCATTCTTCTCCCCACGGCGCATGAAGTTCCTGCTGTGGCTGAAGTATTTGTACAAAGAGGCACCTTCACGGCAATTTCCAGCAGAGAATTTTCACACACATGTACACACATGCATGCACACGTACACACACACACATTCATACAACTTCATGTTACATAATCTGTATACACTGAGTCCACAGAGATCTACACAGATCATGTTCTGCTTTTCCAAACCTTTCAGCTTTGCTGATTACATGTCTGATAATGTTCAAGATTAGACTTCTCTTCACAATATCACTGCATTCCCACAAGAAAATACAGTAATTCATGATCCAGCACCCTTGCCAAACCTCCACCATGCCACCATTGTAAGTAGTAAAACTAGTAAAACATTCGAATTTCCAAATCAGCAAAAAAGATTACTGACCCTTTAAGTTGGTTCAATTTGGCAGGGGGTCACAAGTACCAGAAATACAGTTAGTCATCTTAAAATGATGGTTCAGTTCACAAATGTAGTTCTCAGCCAAGATGTCTGAAATTACACTGGAGCTAAAAGCTAAAGTAGCTAGCAATGGAAAGTAATGGAAACTTCCAGTGGCTGCTTGGCATCATGCAAACTGCAGCCTAAATCATCACCCATCTGACTCAGATTGTGCTGTGTCGTTTAGTCATTTCAAATAGAGTTGCTGATATGGTTTCTGTCACTGTATGACATACTTTTATCTCTAAAAATAGACAAAAGTAGGTTGCATAGATAAAAAATAAACTGAACATTGTACTTTTAGCATTTGGCAGATGCTATTATCCAGAATGACTTATAACTTAGTTATGTTACAGATTCAAGCAAACATGGCATTTGGAGTCTTGCCCAAGGACCCTTGTTGGTGTTGCATGATGTGCCTGCCCTGGCAGGGAATCAAGCCCCACTCTGCTGTATGGAGGTCAGCAGTATTACACAGTATGCTATACCAACCGCTATATATAGATGACTGTATGTCAAACACAATGCTGTTTGTTGGGGTATCATTTTACATGGCTGGCCAACTCCATATGGGTTAAGGTGAAGATTTAGACAAACATTGCTTTAACCCCTTAAACGGCCCCACCAGCAGGCCCAAAGTTCTATTAAACACTTCTATAACCTACGAATACCTCAGTCAGTTTGCATTTAAGTCCCTGTAGTTGCTGAATGATAAGCCTTAGTATGCAATAAACGTGTAATTTTAAGGGGTTAGCTGTTTGGCTACCTGCAAGTTGTCTTTCGCTAATTGATGCAGCCCCACCAGACATCAGACATGCCATAGTAAAGCAGTGGCCATTGGGAATGTGGCGTTTGTTTTTTATACTGCACTTTGCTGTGAGTATTGCAGTGTTGTCTAGGCATGTCCATGCAGTTGCATCAGCAGAAGAAAGTGCGTTTGAAGCATACTTCATATTTGTAAATCTGCCAGTGTGTTTGTTATCTGAGATTTGAGAGTACAATCCTCATATTACAACTGCAAACCCCAACTTACCTCATTTACGCATTAAAGGGCAATTTCAACAGTTTTCACAATTGTTCTGAAAAGTTCAGCCTTTGAGTTGTAAACAAGGCTACTCAGAGTGGTTTGATGTGAAATAGTTCTTTGTAAAGAAACTTTCTCGGATTTCTTTACAGTGGTGGCAAAAGTAACCAGGGGTTGTAATGTCTACAAAACAAATGCAGCCACATATACTATCCAAAAACACCAGTGTACCTACACGAGCCTTTCAAGTTTTTACATGCATTATTGGTACATCTTTCATGAATATGTTTTATTTAGGTACAATGTTGCCTTAGTATGCCCCCCACGTACTCTTCTGCCATGAGCGGAATTATTATTATTATTTTTTTGATATTTTAAACCTAAAATCGTGTCTCACAGCTATTGCAATACACTGTATCAGACATCAGGCAAAGTGTTCATATTTAGTGTAATAACTTGCTGCAAGGGAGCTTCTAGAGGCATTGAACTCTTCAGACATCTGGTTCCTATCACCGCCACTGTGAACAGTTCTGACTTTGTAAGTTTGTCTAGAATGGAACATTTCACACCATGTCTTTGTTTACATTTTAACCATTTAATAATGCAGTTCATGTATAAATGCTTTGAGTTCTTTGAGTGGTAACAAACTGTCAAAACAATGCATGTTGTCCTAAACTGTGAACTGAACATATGAATAACAATTACCAAGTGTAACCTGAAAAGCATAAATACATGATTTTTATTACAAATCAAATTATATTTATTATTTTAACTTATATACGCAAGTAGTTTATGAAATTATAGTTGCATTCATGTACATTTCCTTTTGAGACAAGATTAGCTCCACATGGTTTATTCACACAGTATTGTAGCCTAGAAATTCATACTGCAGATCCTTTCTCATCGTCTTATGACTAATACTGAAGAGAAGCAAAGAAACACATCATCTGTCCTTTCTGAAATACAGTAGACCCACAGTGACGCACAATCTGAGACACATCCACAAATCATGCTCATATAATGTCCATAATATTAAAATTTGTACTCCCATATATTTATTCAATGACGTATTGCATCACATATCGCAAATGAAGCCCATTTATCTCCATTAAGATCCAAACATCCTCTCTTCCCTCTAGATGGAGAAGCCCCCGTTGCCTGGTGACGAGGATGGTCCTGGACTGGAAGAGAGCCACTCTGCAGTGGCTCTGGTGTCAGTAGATGGGGCAGAGTCTTTTGAGGCAGGGGAAGGCGAGGACCGCCCAGCATGGGACAGTAAATTGCAGTACGTCCTCGCTCAGGTGGGCTTCAGCGTAGGCTTGGGCAACGTGTGGAGATTCCCTTACCTCTGTCACCAGAATGGAGGAGGTACAAGTTTGTATGTTTCTAAGTATGTGTGTCAATATTCAAAATGATTTTGAAACTACTTTTTATGAGTTATGATGCTATAGGTACAGTACATTAGGGCTGCACAATATATAGTCACATGCAAAAGTTCAGGCACCCCTGATCAAATGACGTGTTTTTTTGATTTTCTAAGTGCAAATAAAACAAAAATTAGATCTATCTATCTATCTATCTATCTATCTATCTATCTCTACAGGGGCATTCATGGTGTTGTATGTGATGTTGTTGTTGGTGGTGGGAGTTCCTCTCTTCTTCATGGAGCTGGCCGCTGGTCAGAGTATCCGGCAGGGCAGCATTGGAGTCTGGAAACACATCTCACCTCGCCTTGCCGGCATCGGCTACTCCAGCTGCATGGTAACACACACTCACTTGACTGTTATTAATTGGAATTCAGTGTTTCACAGTATTTGTTTTTATCAGAGGTTAAATCGGGCCAGAGCTCTGCGAAGCTGAGCTCTGACACCTTTGGTTTGTGTGAAAGACAAATGGAGCTGAGCTCTGGTGCTGAACATTGATGCAAATGTTAATAGTTTCCAAATCTCGCTGAAATGTATTTAACTATTGGGTGCGTTAAACTGTCAGACCTCTAAACATATTCATATTCTAACAGGATGGTCTCTTAATGTGAGATGGGTGGCATCATGGTTTGAAACTGTTTGCTTTACGAGTTTAAACTTTGGAATTTTGTTGGAAAATAATCAGACAATATTTTCATATCATATTGTGAAAAGAATATTTTTATGATATAAGTGCTGAGAAAATGTACTACATCATTTAAAAAAATGTTCCTATGTTGTTGACACCCATGGATAAAACAGGGCTCCCCCACATTCGACATCCCAGTTTTTCCTCTTGTTGTGGTCACTGTGTCGTTCACAGTAAACTTATAACAGTGGCAAATACAACATTAGACAATGAACAACATTAGACAATAAGTAACTATAAAACTGGATTTGGTTTCAAGACACTATGTACAAATAAAGTGTTCTATTTCTGTAAGGGGGAAAGCTTTGGAATTTCACTAGAAATATTTTTAGATGTGTGTTTGTTATAGACATAGTATGTAGAGGAATTTGCTGCATAGCAGAATTTTAAATGTCCCACTCATGGTCAGGTTTTATCAGGGGGCATTAGCCTTAGCTCAGGATGAGGCCGCTGTCTAGCACTGCTTTCTAAATTTAGACATTACAGTAAGCGTCAGTGGTGTAGGTAACAGCTCATACACAGAAAGACTGCTGCACGTGTATGTGTGTGTGTGTGTGTGTGTGTGTGTGTTTCTCTGTGTTTTTCTGTGTGATCAGGTCAAGTACTTACCTCGTCAGTAATTGGAGAGCAGTGTTTCTAAAGTGGACAGCCAGACTTGCTCAGACTGTATGTGTGGTTGAGGAAGTGCTGGTGTATGATTGCGCTGTTATATAATAGAAACCCACTCTATATTTAAACATATTAACATACCTTGTCTGTCTGTCTGTCTGTCTATTTCTCTTTCTCTCTCTCTCTCTCTATCTCTCTCTTTCTTTCTCTCTCTCTCTCGCTCTCGCTCTCAGGTATGTTTCTTTGTGGCTCTGTACTATAACGTGATCATTGCCTGGTCTCTATTTTATTTGGGAAACTCCTTTCAGTACCCATTACCATGGCAACACTGTCCTGTGGAACTAAGCAGCAACCAGACAGGTATGTCCCCAGATAAAGTACACATAGTCATATGCAAAAGGTGAAATGCAAATTCAAATGATGTGTTCTGTTAATTCTTTACATGACAGTAAGTTGATGCATGGGAACAAACATAAATATGTCATTTTTCCTCAAAGTTTCTTCAAAGTCAAAGTTTAGTGCACAAAGTTGGACATAACTATTGCACAGGCCACATTTTATGTTTTATTGTTTTTTTTTTTCAATATGTCCAACTTTGTGCACTAAAATTCAACAAATAAACAGTAATTGTGTATTAAAATGTGAAGAAGTGTGTTTGAAGATATGCACTTATTTATGGATAAAAAAAAAACAAAACATTTGCTGGTAATTTGACCCAGTGGTGCCCAAATATTTACATGACTGCATGTCTCTATACATATTAAAAAATCATTAAACAATCATCACTCCTTAATAAACAACATGTTCCAAAGCCCATATAAAAACATCACAAAGGCCCAGTTTATCAGAGGTTTGCTTTTCATATTTATCTTCAGCTGCAGTTATTGCTCGGTATTAAAAAAAGTCAGTTTTCTTGTATCATTTAGAAGACCGTGTAAAAGAAGTGTCATTTAAAATTCTTGTTTTTCTATAATCTTTCGCCCACTTCTACTTCATCTTCTGAGTTCTGATTACATCTCTGTGCATCAGTGGGCGGGGAAAATAATATTAACCAATAATTACATGTTTCTCCTCCACCTCCCACCACCCCCACCTATCATGTAGGACCAAAACCATGTATCTCCAAACTAGTTACTTTATCGGAAAAAGAACAAAACATGCTTAACATTTAATTTAAGTAATGTAACAAGATTTTATATGACATTTTGGCTCATTTCTGTTGTTCCATTCATCATGAAATTTTCACACAATATAAAGAGCAGCTGGTATTTTTAAATTATGTCAAAAAAATAAAAAGCAACAAATGTGGAAATACAAGGTTTTGTTCCAACAGCCACAATATTTGTTCTTTCTTGCAAAAACAATGTTGTTCCCTTTAGCCAGGTTTACAGAATCTATATTCATATCCATTCATTGATATAGATATTGAATGACTTCTGTAAGTATGATTTGTACATCTGTGTGTGTTATCTAACATGTCTCTCTTTCTCTCTCCCTCTGCCTTTCTCTCTCACTCTCTCAGTGAAGGAGTGTGCTGCCAGCTCACCCACCTCTTATTTCTGGTTCCGTAAGGCTCTTGATATCTCTGACTCTCTGGATCAGTCTGGAGAGTTTAACCCTATCATAACTGGTTGCCTGCTGGCTGCTTGGGCTATAGTATGTCTGGCTATGATCAAGGGCATCAAGTCCTCTGCCAAGGTACTATTACAACACACTCTCGCACACACTTATTTGTTCATGTTGCCAGTTGGCTTACATAAATGATCATATCCTTCAACCTGTGCCCTTGAAATATCTACTGTCAGCATTCATTGTAATATATTGTATATGATGAGAAACTGTAAAGCCAACAGTAAATATCCAGTCTAAAACAATTAATGATCTTTCTCTTTCTTTCCTTTGTTTTCCAATTCCAGGTGATGTACTTCTCCTCTGTTTTCCCATATGCTGTGCTGTTCTGTTTCCTCATCAGAGGACTGATGCTGGATGGAGCCATTGAAGGAATCACCTACATGTTCTACCCTAAAGTGAGTAAAAAGTAAGCGTGCAAGGGTACTAGGGCTGTCCCTATTAATTGTATTAGCACTTGTGTAATCTACAGATTAATTTGACAGTTAATTAGGTTATCAAGGTTTTAAAAATAGCCAGACAATAAGATTAAATGAATGGTAATTAACTATTCATAGATAAATATTATATATATAAAAATACATATAATCACTGTGATAAATGTGTATAAATGGTTGTGTCCATCAGGCTCTGTTTTTGGTCATAAGAAAATGCAGTAGAGGAACCAATAATATGCATTATTTTTATGCAAATTGCAGACTAATCATTCACCTAAAAGGTTCACTATAATTCTTTATTTTTTTTAATAAGGTATTGTTACAGCCCTTAAGCTACTAGTACCTCTTGTTTTCAAGAGTAGTGGAAGCAGCCAGTCTTTTAGATAAACAGACAAATGCTAATGGTCTTTTACCTCAGCTAACATTATTAGCCTAGCCTTTTTTTCACCCTGTATCTTTCAGCTCTAAAACAGAGTTTGTGAAGAGGTGCTAAACTGATTGCAAGTGTGATAAATTTGTTTTAAAAGTTTTATTTTCTGAAGTTCATACAAGTAGAATATAAAAAAATCTTGAACTTGACATTTTCGGCACTCTCATTGCAAAGCATTCTAGTGTAGCAGTGATGCGCTACATGATGCTATGCCATGCTGCGTGGCACAACGCGACTGGTGTGTGTTGGCCTGTAGTAGTAGCTTTGGATTGCAATATGAAGAACCACATTTAGAATCACATCTAGGCTTCTTTAGCTCTGTTATGCGTAATCTAATGATGAACAAAGTGGCCAAGAAACATCTGAGCAGCCAAAAGTTTATTGTTATAACTGTGTATTCCTGCCTAGATGTAATTATCCACAGATTATAGCTAAAAACATTAACTGCACTTTAACTTTCATTTCTAATCCAGAGTGTCATTGCAAATCCTGGAGCTTACTGGCAAAACAGCTAATGTTGTTTAAGGGTAACACTTCTTGTGATAATTACAAGATGCAAATTGACCATTTGCTGAGGCTCATGATAAAACATCATAAAACAACGTCTTTTTAACCCCTTAAACTTTAAAGGCTGATATGTGCATCCTTAATTGTTCACTCACGTTATTACATATGTATATTCTGAATGATTTCTATTAACTAATTAGTAACTAACTCTCTCTTTCTCTCTCAGTTGGAGATCTGGGGGGAGGTGCAGGTATGGCGTCAAGCAGCCACTCAAGTTTTCTTTGCTCTTGGTTTGGGCTATGGCTCCGTAATCGCTTACTCTTCCTACAACCCTGTCCACAACAACTGCCACCGTGATGCTATCATGGTCTCTGCAATCAACTTCATGACCTCAGTCCTGGCCTCGCTTGTCGTCTTTGTGGTGCTTGGCTTCCGAGCTAAGAACATCGCCCTGGAGTGTGTTGCAACGTAAGTATGTACATGTGTGCATATTGTTGTAATGGTGTTACCAGTATTTATTCAAAATGCAGTATGTGTTTCCATTTCAGCCTCTTTTTTGGCTGTGTTTTACAGATATAATGTAATTTTGTTATTTTGCAGAAATATGGGAAGAGTGATGGAGATGGCAGCTTCAGGCTTGTCTCAGCATTGGTGGCCGTGGTTCAACATGTCTGATCCCAAATCCGTGGACCTGCACGAGTACAGGCAGTGGTACAGCCAATACGGCAGCGTGCTGCCAAACATCACTGACTGCGACCTGGAGAGAGAAATGAACAAGGTGAAGTGCAATGCATTTGTGGAACTTTGTGTTATGGAGGATATCAGAGTTAAGATTCATTGGTGTGAAAAAAGTAACTTGCAAAAAATAAGTATTAGAGATGGATTCATTTCAACAGAAGAGGTTCTGTTATGTAATTTGAAAGAGATTTTACTGCCTGATTCATAAGAAATGAATCTTTATAATTTACCATAAACAAAATTACCATAAACAGCCTGGATTGAAACATCATAGGATTTATACTCAATAACAATAACAACACAGCACACAGCCATGTCTCTGGGTTCAACCAATTACAGAAGATTATTCACTCCACAGTTCTTACTGTCAGATTCATTTCATTTTTCTGCCTTCCTCACTCAGGGTGTGGAAGGGACTGGTTTAGCGTTCATAGCATTCACTGAGGCAATGGCACTGTTCCCTGCCAGTCCATTCTGGTCAGCTCTGTTCTTCCTCATGCTGCTTAATCTGGGGCTGTCCACCATGTTCGGCACCATGCAGGGCATCCTTACTCCGCTCATGGACAACTTTAGACTGCTGGGCCGCCACAAGACCATGCTCACAGGTACATACACACATGCTTTGGCTGTCCTCCGCTTAAAGATCAACCTGTTACAAAGAACTCTTCTGTGCAGTGAGTGTGGCTAACCCTGCAGCTCACTAACCACGCAAACACAACTCTGCTATCTATAACTGCCATTTACATTATTTACACCATGGTTCGCTTAGATATCAGTTGGCATGTAGATGCACTCAGTCTGTTTGGTGTATCTGTACCAGTTTGTTGGAACTACAATATGCTGTGTCTATTGTGACAAAGTGACCTTGTTAGGACAACCGCTGATGTCCCTGTGTTGCAGCAACTGATTGTCACTACTTGAGTGATGTCAATAAATAATGAAATAGTAATATTATTGTAGTTGTGAGATTTAAATTGCAATTGCAACAATTGTAACATCATTTAAATTTGTTAGAGTGTAGTATTTAAGTGCAGTGTTTAACTGTTTTAAATGTGCACTAGTGTTCAAACGTTTGGAACCAGTTTTCAACAGTATAAAACTAATCTAGTGGTTCTAATTTTCTAGTCCTGTGCAACGTCACAGGGACACTTGGAAGAAATTTTAGACGTGTCCAGAAAATTAAACAGAGCTGTAGGAGTTTAGTATCCAGAATTGGTCTTATTGGGACATTAAATAAGGCAGAGAACTTCACGAAAAATGAATGTAAATAGATAATTACAATACATAATTCATCATTCACTGCTTGTTCACAGAATTCTTGAAGTATTAAATCTGAATCATGTAAAATAGCTCTTAAATAGTTTATAGTTTCATTAAATCCATATTTTACAAGTTATTGTATATATAAAATTAAATTATTGTTCATATAAAAAAAGTTATTAATGGTATATCAGAACTTTTGAACACTAGTGTAGCTCTCATAATATTTCTGTGTTATGTTGTTTTGTCGTGTCTGTGTAACTCACAGTATTCAGCTCTGATATAATGGTTGTTGTACAGTTTAGCAGTGTTAATGTGCAGTTGCTCTAGTGTTTTTTTATGTTGCATTGTTGAGCTACACAATTGTAGCTCATATGTCAGAGTTTGTGTTGTTTTAAATGTCTAATCATAGTTCCTGTGTGGTGTTTGTGTTGCAGTGTTCAGCTGTTTTATCATAGCTCTTATGCGTCACTTGTGTTGTAGTATTAAACTGATGTTGTGTTATGTGTTGTTTGCGTTACAGTGTTTAGCTGTGTCCTGGGCTTTCTGATAGGGCTGCTCTTCACACAGCGCAGCGGCAACTATTTTGTGACCATGTTTGATGATTATTCTGCCACTTTACCACTGATTATCGTCGTTATCTTTGAGACAGTCAGTGTGGCGTGGATCTACGGGGCAGATCGGTAAGACTACTTCTGCAAATTTCCTGATACTAAAAATGTTCATATTGTTCATAGCTTGGTGCTGCAGTGGTGGCCATATGATAAACATTTTATTTATAATGCAGCTGTGTAAACTATTCATACATGTGTCTGTAATAGAACTTCTTTTCATTTTAATGTGATACTGTCTATTGTACACCGACAGGCCACTTCATTAAGTGCACTACTTTGTATCATCACTCATTGTCCATTTTATCAGCTTCACTTACCATATAGGAGCACTCTGTACTGCTACAATTACAGACTGTAGTTCACCTGTTTCTCTGCATACTTTGTTAGCCCCCTTTCACCGTGTTCTTCAATGGTCAGGACCCCCACAGGACCACCACAGAGCAATACCTTCTGATCTGTGGTGTTCATATGGGGGTCTTGATCATTGAAGAACAGGGTAACAAAGTATGCAGAGCAACAGATGGACTACAGTCTGTAATAGTAGAACTACAAAGTGCACCTATATGGTAAGTGGAGCTGAAAAAATGGACAATGATTGTAGAACCTGTAAGGTCTACTTAATGAAATGGCCAATTGGTGTATATTTGATGTTTCTGTTAACACCACGGAAAAATTCTTGTAAAGCTGTGCTTAAGGAATAAAGATTCTGTTTATGTATTGCAGATTTTTGGATGATGTAGCATTGATGCTGCATTGGCGCCCCCCTGTGATCTATAAGTTCATGTGGAAGTATGTATGCCTGCTGGCTATGGTGGGTCTGCTGACTGCTAGTCTACTGCGAATGGTCTTCAAATGGCCAACTTACACAGCATGGAACCACACCACGGTAATACACAATGATACACTTTGTATGACCGGCTAATTAAGGCTTTGTTGATGCTCAATGATAGTAAAGTTATGTACTTCTGTTGCTGTAGCTGCCTGGTAGGGTTGTGTGATTACAGTCATCTAAATATGAGAACACTTTTCGCCTCCTTATTGGTTATTTAAAGCTTTGTGCAGTTAAAAGGGCCATTTTCTGCATTTTTTTTTTCCCATGAAGTTTCCTTATAATGCCTTTTTGGTTTAATACCTTTAATTAATTTTTACATTATAATTTTTAAACTTATCTTTATTCCTAAGAATTAAACAACATATTTTTTCATTATGCCTAGATATATGTAAGTGACCTCTGTTCTGTGTGGCTGCCCAACATCAGGCCTTGTTCAAAACTCAGTCTAGCTGAAATTTCCAGAACAAACTATTAATTTAGGCTGAAATATTCAGAGACGTTGGTAAAAATAAACTTCAGCTACTACTTCAGTTGTCTGTATACTTTCGAAGGCTGCAATGATAGATTTGCTTCGCCATCGCCTGGTCCAGCACAGCATTTTATCGTTTTCTCCACATCTCCCACTCCAAAACCTAACCTGTAAAGGATGAATGGATGAGCCACTGCCTACAGCTTATCTTCTATATATAGAAATGTATAGAAGGGGGAGTAAATTTTATTTTAAAGCATTTTATTTTAAAGCTAATTTTGGTTATGCTTACACAGTACATGAAAATCTTTTAATTAAAAAAGGTAAAGCAAAAGTTTTCTAAAATATGGCCCCTTTAAATCTCCCTTTCTTTCTCTCTCTCTCTATCTGTCTGTCCTTCTCTCAAAGGGTTCTGAGACTAGCCTGGAGTATCCCGGTTGGGCGTTGGTGATGCTGTCCATGCTCATAGTCACCGCCTCTCTCCCAGTGCCTGCTGGATACCTGTATTCTCTACTAACCCAGAGGCAAGATCAACCAGAAGAAGCAGGCATGACTGAGCGGCAAAGAGAACGGTACTGCAAATGCAATTCTGCTGAGCCTGAACTAAACAACCACCACCCCCTGTTGGACGAGGCCGGCAGCCGGCCGCACTCCACTTTCCTGCCACTGGGGGTGGATCACTACAGGCCCCTCCCACAGCAGGAAGATGAGGATGAGGAAGAGGACACAGAAATGTAAACAAAGTAGCCAAAGAAGCAGAAAAAGGATGATGGACGAGGGATAGAATGAGAAGGGAGAGTGGGGTATTTATTAACTGATGCTGGAGTCTTTATGGACAGACAGTAGAGGGACTCCATTTATCCTCATTATGCTAATGAATTCTATAATTATGTAATGGTGTCCGTTAGCTTGCTGCCCGGCATGAGAGGACGCTCTTTATATGAGTGATCCCATCACTGTATTTCCATCTGTGTATGTGCCCTTAGGTGTACCCAGGTCAGCTGCCAGTATTGCCTTCCTAAAGTGCCTTATTGAACACTTCAGTTACCTCACTATTTGTGTTTTTATCACCCAAGGATAATATTAATGTATTAAAGGAATACTCCATACTTTTTAAAACCCAATCTCTGTCTGCTGCATCTGTAGCACAGATGATTATTCTGAGAAGTTTTGAGTTAACAATCCCATTAACTCAAAACACCCTTTGACTTTTATTATAAGCGAGTTTTAATTAATCAGGTTTTCTGTTCTTTTCTACATGGAAATTCGACTATATGCTAGAATTGTGACAGACAGAGATTGCATTGAAAATAACTGGAGGATTCCTTCAAGAAAACTATGGGTGGACATCAAAGGGACAGAAAGTATGTTTATGTGCACAAATGTTTTTTTTTTGTATTTCTTTTCTTCTTGTCGGTTTATTATACATTTCACGATGTGAATGTAGTAATAGCTTAAGTAATGTGGTAATGTTGGGTATGGTGATACAGTGCCAGGATTTAGTGGGTGAACTGTTACATTTGGAGTTGCCACCTTTTCAACAAGCCAAAACTTGACACCCCTGTGCCCACACATTTGTATTTGAGCTTGCCGCTGTCAGTAGTAGTTTGTCCTTTAAAACATAGAAGTTTAAGTGAATTTGCAAATTCTTCATTTCAAAGCCATTAGACCATTCTTTTTGGAAAGATCAGTAGCGCTTCTTTTTAAGGATTTCTTTTTGTACTTCCTATTCATTTCAGATGGACACTGTGACTTCAGCTCTCTTCATGATTGGCCATAGTGTTTAAAAAAGTGCCAATTATTCTATATGACACAACTGGACAAATTGACAGTGGAAGAAGGAAGTAGGAAGTGCCAAATGAACTGACCACAGTTATTGCACATCCCCCTCACCCCCCCATCCTCTACAACTTGGACGAACATTGAACCAAAAGGGACAAATGACAGTTAAAAACAAACACACAGCATGAAAACTGGACTGTCCAGGTGAAAAACGGATGGTTAGCAAGCCGAGTTAAATTGTGACTTAAAGTAATATTCTAGCATTTTCTAACCTAATCTCTATCTGCTGCATCTCCATTGTATGGTTACCACAGAAAATGTGTTTCTCTGCGTTTAGGAAATTACTGGAAACCCCTTGACTTAAAAGGCGCTAATAATAGAAACCGATGAGACGCTGCCAAATTTTGAAAATAAATATTTGAAATAGGGGTCGTTCCAACAGTATATTAGGATACGTGCATTAGCTGACATAGACATGGAAATGTCTTACCCAGGTTGTTCTGATGTAGTTATATTCAGCTTTCCAACACTAGAGCAACACTGTAAATAACAATTCTAGTTACATTCACAAGTTTTTCTGGTATCTATGCCAGATCAGGCAGGATTGTATCAAACTCTACTTGTTGCATATTATGCATATAATTGCATATTCTGTACTGTGATATTGCTGTTAACAGTGAGACACCCACTCTATAGTGCTAAAGTTGGCATAAGGTTGGATAACAGACAGCATTGCTGTTGAAAAAAGTGTTTTAGCTAGAAGTCCAGTGATTAATCCTTACGACTTGTTTTTGGCTATGAAATGCATCAGGTTGCATAAAATTCAGACCTAGCTGCTCATACACTCAACAAAAGTCCATGGATGAGCGTTGGAAAAGATGTGCCAAAAAACTTGTGTTTATGTTTTACTGAACCTTCCCTTTTTGGAGTTTGTACTAATCCTCATGCTAATAATACCCAACACCATAAAACTCACCCAGTCAAAAATAGCACACATAGAGAGCACAGACCTGAGAATAGAACTGAGGAATGCGCTTAGTCAGCCTGCAAGGTCAGAGTGGACTGACACGAACAGACATGTTCCTGCATGCTGAGAAACCATTGGTTAAAGAAAAGCAGGGAAGGTGCCTCTTTGGTAACGGTGGTCTAGTGTGTGGCACCTCAAGGCGAGAGCAACTCGCTAAAGGAATGCAGCACAGAAGAATGCAGTCACACCATTACACAAACACACACCTACACAAGCACACAGACCTAAATATGTATTCAGGCAGCTTCCCCTGTGCAGCCAGTGAGACAGTAAATAAGTACTGTAGAGCGTGTACAGGCTTGGTCTGTTCTTAAAAGCCATATGAAAGAGTCTATACATTAAGCTAAGTCTCATACTTGATTGTTTAATTTTTAACAGATATCTACATGTTAACCTCCTTTTTATGTATTCTGTATTAGTGCATATTCTTTGTTCTGACTGACTGTGTTATGTGTGTATGTGAGATACAATGTAAATCTTAGATATTTTGCATTTTTGTGGTGAAACAAATCTTTGTCTATATACCACATAAAATGTACATAGAAATATATACTTGTTTTCCACTATTATTGCATTATTTTAAAGAGGGGGGACTTTTGAAAAACTACGCTCTTAAAAAAGATAGTTCTTTAAGGGTTCCTATGGTAATGGGAATGGTTCTACTTAGAACAGTGAGTTCTATGAAGACCTATTTCATGCTTAAATGGTTCTTTGCATAATGATTCTTCAGATTGTTGGAGAATGGGTTGTATATTGTCCTGTATAGAGTCTTATTAAAAATTGTTCCATATAGCACCAAAAAGATTTCTATTATTGTTACGATGTCAAGCTTGTAACAATAGAAGAACCTGTTTTGGGGTTCTAGAACAATGATAGGTGTGTTGAAAAAATACATCGCTAAGTTCCTTACTAATGACGATTATAATGTTAATAACAATGATTTATAAAATTATATAATTTTGCTCATTTGGCACGACATGCTCTAATCGTGAGGAGTAATGGAAACAAGAGTAGCGATCACGTGACCACAGACGGGCCCTAAAGTCCCAAACACTTCTGTTGTTACCTAAGATAACACTAGATGGCGCTGTAGGTTACCAGATTCACACTTACCATATTCAAGTCTGGCAAAGTGGATTAAACGTGCACCTTGACCGGGTGTGGGGTCAGTTTTGTGGCCCTGTTTTGGGTTCTGATCATTAACCCAATACAGATTAACACTGTAAACAACTTAATTGACCTAAAAGAATGGAAATGAGCCTGGTGACAAAACTGTCGAGAGCAAATCAGAGCCAGCATTCTAGAAACAGACCCTAGGCCCTGTACCATTTACCTTTCCAGGTGGGCTATACTGAACACAGATACGAGCATAACAACAAACACAGTCGCACATATAATGAAAACAAAGAAAATCATTTTATTTCCGGATAAAAGTGAAAAAAAGTGATTGAGGTGGTAAAGTGTCACTTATCACCTTCTGTGAAAGAAACCCAACCCAATTCAAAAGAGAGAGAGAGAGAGAGAGAGAGAGAGAGAGAGAGAGATGAAAACAGGTATGTGTGGGGGGGGTTAGTTTGACAAGAGGGGAGAGAGAGACGGAGAGAGAGAGATGGTGATGTAAATAGGTAAGGCATAGTTTGACAGGAGGAGAGAGATAAAGAGTGAGTGTGTTTGAGAGAGAGAGAGAGAGAGAGAGAGAGAGAGAGGGAGAGGGAGAGGGAGGGGTGAGACGGACAGTGCGCGCGGGACAACAGCACACCGGCCGGATCCGGGAGTCGCGAGTCGCGAGCATGGAGATCCGTCCAGATCGCTTCAAGGCTGTGGCAGCTAAAACCTTAGGGAAGGTGCACAGGTAGGAAAATCTGAACTCTGACCTCACACACTTTTTCACCCAGATTCCTCGCTGTGCTGCTCACTGTGGCGTTTCTGCTGCTCTAACTCACCTGACTGAACTCCTCAGCTCTCTACCCAACACCTCAGAGCAAATAAGGCTGCGTTATAGTGAGAGATGGAGGGATGGAGGGATGGAGAGATGAAGAAACTCTGGACTAGACGTTCCTCTGTTCTTCACTGCTCCTCTTCTTGGCAGTTAGTGTTCCAGAGTAGTTCTGTGTAACCTGCTCGTGGCAGACAGATGCTCTCAGGGGATGAAGCACTAGAGAACATCTGGGGCTCCACGAGGCCACTTTAAGCGGAGAGGGGGCTGTTAACGGTGGGCTGCAGTGAGCGACTGATGATATGGGCTAAAGCTGATTTCAGACGCGGGTGTTTGAAGCTGTTCGGTGAAAGCGCGGGTCGTGATGGTCAGTCAGAGCTGCTCTTACATAATCTCCCGCTCACTGGCCACTGATGGGAGCTGATACAGCGGGATGTTTTAGCTTTTAATCAGGTTTTTACGCGTGAAAGTTGTGTCACTAGTTATGCTTTACATAGTAGACTAAGAATCGACTAGTAATAATAATAATAAAAATAAAATATTATATATACACAACTATTAAAATAAAAAAGTTTCACTAATGAAATCTGAATTATCACAAATATAAACTCAGAAACGGCTTCTCTGTTTTGTGTCCTTTCAGAATCAAGAAAACTGGCTATTTTCTGCAGATAATAAGGTCTGAAAAAAGGTCTGAAAAGGATCAGGAGCTGTTGCATGATAAAATGTAACATTTAATTTCTATCAATTATATTTTTGTATTAATAAACGCTATTTTTGTAGTAAAAATTGATGTTTTTGAGTAGCGAACATAACATTTACTAATGATAATTGAATTCCCACTAGTAAAAAAAACAACCTTAGTAACATGTACAGTCTGTTTCTGAAGCTGATCTGTTTTAATTTAAACAATATAATAACAAGAAATAAAAAAAGAAATAAAAACTACAGCTAAAACTACTGCAGTAGTAAAATGTTTTACATTAAAACTTACATATTTCTGGTAATTCAATTCTTACCACTGTTTTATTGTTAGTGAAAATTGCTTTGGTATCAAGAAAAATGTAATTGAACGCCAGAAATGCTCTCCATCTCTGGGTGGATGAGATTACACTAGTGCGGAGCTGAGGGTCCTTCGCGCGCTGTGCCACACTGACCTCACTGTCATCACCTCCACCTGAAGCGCAGGTTCCTCAGCGTACAGAGCGCAGTCCTGTCACATTTTAAACATCACTCTCTCCTATATTGAAACATTAGAAATGCTCCGAGTTTCTTCTCCGTTTCTTAGCAACAAATGCGTGATCAGCACTTGATCTCGAGGATCATCTAACTCGAGAATTATTTAACACATCTGAAATCATGAAAATGACGTAAATTGAAAAGAAAGAATGGAAGTATAAATATTTCAGCGCGTGCTCTCAGGGGGATTTGCAGTAGCATCTACACATTCAAATCCCCTCTGAAATAGCTCATCACTAACACACACACACACACTCTGTCCAGCTGTTTCCTCCTCCCTTCCACATCGGCACACCCGTCAGCTCCACCCTGCAGCGCGAGGCGCACCGGGATTAAAGGCGGAGAGCACGCGAGTTACGGTTCATCCACGTTGTCACACGTGACAGAGATAAAACTACCGATGAGATTCAGATTAGACAGAGAGAGAGAGAGAGAGAGAGAGAGAGAGAGAGAGAGAGAGAGAGAGAGAGAGAGAGACTTTAGTGTCAGGCTTCATAATACAACTGAAAACGTTACCATCTTCTTTCAAAATGCAGAACTTTGTTAAAAGGTGCCAAATCAATTTACAACTCACAAGCTCCATCTTTACAACTCACAAACTCCATCTTTACAACTCACAAACTCCATATTTACAACTCACAAACTCCATCTTTAGCCTTACAGTTTATCTTTTTACAGGTCAAGAGATTCACTCATGACGTAAGCCTTGTTTGCAGAAGTATTAGCAGAAGACTTGGATAAAGTTTGTGTTCACACACTGCTCGTGTGTTTAGGTAAATAAAACATGCTGTCATGTGTTTACAGATTTAGAGCTTTGATCTAATAGCATGGAACCATGAACACAATCATCACCAGCACACACACACACACACACGCACACACAAACACACACACCATTGTCCCTAGGTCTGGACACCCCTTCTAGTTTGTGGATTCAGCTACTTTAAGGTGCAGCCACTTCTTGCACAGTTTTAGTTTAGCTGCAGACACATACAGCCATAGAAGCATGGAAGTAGATTGGGATGCTCTGCAGCAGCCTCACACAAGCGTCCATGCACAATTCCACATGTTTACAAGAGCTGCACAGCATTGGATGGTGAAGCAGTGGAACCATGCGCTGTGGTTAAGCACCATTTGGAATGGGTTGGAATGATGAAGCACCATTTGGGGTGAGTTGGAGCAATGAAGCTCCAATTGGAATGACTTGGGGGATTAGGCACCATTTGGAATGAGTTGGAGTGATGAAGCACCATTTGGGATTAGTGGGGGGCTGAAGCAGCATTTTCAATGACTTGGGGGTTTGAGGCACCATTTGGGATGATATGCAGTGATGAAGCACAATTTGGAATGATTGGGAGGATTTGTCATGGTTTGTGATGAGTTAGGGTGAGTAAGCACCATTTGGAATGGCTTATGGTGATGAATCACCAGGGCTGAAAAAAAGGACAGAAAAACTGTTCTTGAGTAAGAGTACGGGAACTGTGTCAAAATCTTACTCAGTAAAAACTGGAACCATAGGACTAAAATGCACTTGAGTGAAAATAAAAAGTATCAACATATAAACATGCTCAAGTATATAAAATTGAAAACCCTGCCAACCACCAAACACCAACCTCTACTTTTCTGCAGAGTTTAATTCCCACCTGCATCTACCCCCACCCCCCTTAGATGTTTAACAATTACTTTGAAGGTTTAAATGGTGTAAAGTAAGGAGTAAAATATATGTTTTTCTCTTAGAAATGTAATTGAGTAAGTAACAGTATGAATGTGCAGTAATACTCGTGTATAGTGCAAATCATCAAAAAAAGTGCTTAAGTATAGAAACAAAGTACACATACTTTATGTGCATTTGCACCCCTGTGAAACACCATTTAGGGTGAGTTGGAGTGATAAAAGACCATTTGAAATTAGCTGGAGTGATAAAACATGATTTGGGGTGAATTGGAGTGATGAAGCTCCATTTGCATTGAGTTAGATTGATGAAGCTCCATTTAGAATGAATAAGAGTGAGGAAGCATCGTTGGGATGAACTGAAGTGATGTAACATCATTTGGGATTAGCTTAAGTGAAGACACTCCATTTTGAATGAATTGGAGTGATGAAGCTATATTTGCAATGAGTTGGAGTGATTACGCACCATTTGGGTTAAGTTGGAGTGATGAAGCAACATTTGTGATGAGTGGAGTGAAGCACCATTTGGGATAAATTAGTGTGATGAAGCACCATTTGGTATAAATTGGAGTGATGAAGCACCATTCTGGATGATTTGGAGTGATGAACCACCATTTGGGATGATTTGGAGTGATAAAGCACCATTTGGGATCAGTTAAAGTGATGAAACACCATTTACGATGAGTTGGAGTGATGAGGCACCAATTGGGATCAGTTAGAGTGATGAAGAACCATTTGGGATAAGTTGGAGTGGTGAAGCACCATTTGGAATGAGTTGGAGTAAAGCAACATTTGAAACCAGTTGGAGTGATGAAGCACCATTTGGGATGATTTGGAGTGATGAAGCATTATTTGGGATGCGTTGGAGTGATGAAACACCATTTGGGATTAGTTGGAGTGATAAGGCACCAGTTGGGATGAGATGGAGTGATAAAGCACCATTTGGGGTGAGATGGTGTGATGAAGCATTATTTGGGATGCATTGGAGTGGTGAAGCTTCATATGGGATGAGTTGGAGTGATGAAGCACCATTTGGGATGAGTTGGTCTGATTAAGCATTATTTGGGATGCATTGGAGTGATGAAACACCATTTGGGATGATTTGGAGTGATCAAGCACCATTTGGGTTCAGTTAAAGTGATGAAGCACCATTTGGGATAAGTTGGTGTGATGAAACGCTATTTACGAAGAGTTGGAGTGATGAAGCACCATTTGGGATAAGTTGGAGTGATGAAGCACCATTTGGAATGAGTTGGAGTAAAGCAACATTTGAAACTAGTTCAAGTGATGATGCACCATTTGGGATGATTTGGAGTGATGAAGCACCATTTGTGATCAGTTAAAATGATGACACACCATTTAGTATAAGTTGGTGTGTTGAAACGCTATTTACGAAGAGTTGGAGTGATGAGGCACCATTTGTAATGAGTTTAACTGATGAAGCCCAAACAAATACTTACAGAATGAGTTGGAGTGCTATTTATGATCAAGACATGTTCAGTGTATGTCTGTAAACAGGTGTTTATAGGTATACAATACTGTGTAATCAGAGGCTGCACTTTTGTTTAATTTTCCGGTGAAAATGGCCATGAAGCTAGTTATTCATTTTTCAGGAGATATTTCGAGAAGATTAAATATAATGTAGTTACAGACATAAGATAATCCACTGATGTAAGGAAGAGGAAAGCCAAAGGAAAATAAGACAAAGACAAGAATTTCCAAAAATTGATTAAAAAAAAAAAGGATTGAAATATACAGATAAAATTTAACTTCTAACAACCACACAAGACCTCGTAGACCATCAATACTGTCACCTTGAGATAAACAGTATTTAAACATTATGAGTCTGAAAGGAAGCTCTAACTGAGAAAAGAATAAAAAAACGAACTGCTGGTGTTCTCAGAACAATGGAATGGAATGAAAGGCAAAAGGTGAAGATACTAAATATATGAAAAAACATATGTATATATATATATTTTATAGTTGTTGAGGTTTCTCTCTGTGTG